AATGGAGCATGCAAGACACATCAAAAATGGGGAAAAAACCAAAAGCAACCAAACCCCCAAGACCCATCAGAAATTGGGGGGGAAACCAAAAAATAAACCCCCCAAGACCAATCAGAAATGGGGAAAAACACTCCGAAAAGCAACCAAACTTCCCCATCAGAAATGGGGGGGGGACAAAAAAACAAACAACCACCCCAAGAATTATCACAGAAGAGAAACATAGCCCCCCCCAGTTGAAAACACGCTGCAAAAATACCAATAACAGTTTTTAAAAAGCATAAAGCAGCACCATTCCTTAGCAAGCAGCTTCTTTCGCCACCTACAGTTAGCAATTAGAATATCCCCCCTTTTTCCCTGCCTTTTTCTGTTTGTAAGTGGAAGCTTCGGGCACAAGTAGAAGCAAAATTTTGCAACCGGAGCTGTTCGTAAGTCGAATTGGTTGAAAGTAGGGACGGTCATAAGTCGAGGTACCACTCTATGTATCTGGGTTCCAGAAAGACCAGCACCCCAGACCTGAGAAGAAGATGGAGAAATCGCAAGTAATGATGGGATATTGTGCCTAATACAGAGCTTCAAAAGAAGATGCAAGTTTCAGACAGAGACAGTTTTGTTATTAATTAAAGACTGCAGTGTGGGCAAAGGTTTGGATTTTTGCAGTTGTTGTGCCCAGACAAGAGGGAAGTGAACTGGAGCAAGAAGTCCAAATATAACTAAAACTGGAGAAAGCAAGTTTAATAAAGAGGAAGTAGGCTAGCTGAAGCCAAGTCTGTGGAAGATGAAACAAACTGTACACATTCCTGCATGGCAACAGATTGCATCTGCCAAGGAAGCCAGGGTCTGCCCCTGTATGCTTGTGCCAGCCCAGATTTTGCGCATTAACACAGCCCACAAGGAAAAGACCTATAAGAAGGATGACCCAGGAAGAGACAGATGGGCTTCGGAAGAGCACTGGAACAACCCCCATCACCCTTTCTGAGGACTGACCACCCCCAGAGAAGGGCCTTCTGGATGAGTGAGTATCTTGTGTGAATGAGCAGTATGAATGAAAGGCCTCTTGGTGCCTTTTGTCTTATATCCTATGTTAATGTTCTCATATTCACTTTATTGACACGTTTGAGCAACAAAATCCTAGAATGGATTAAACAACTGTTGTGCCTGAAATGGAGTTCAGACCAATAATGGCGCCCATAATAACTGAGTTTGTTATACTATTGTTTATCCAGAATTCCCATTTGTTCCGTTGTGGTGAATATCACTTGACTATAAAGTGAGAATACTCATCTCCATCTCTGTTCAGGTATAACAATGAAATCTCCAATTATATACTCGTAGGCATAATATTATGAACCAGGTACATAATAAAACACAATACACCAAGCACACTATGTTTACCCATTTTAATATATTTTTTTAAAAAGGACACAGACAAAATTTGTGCTTTCTTGAATTCCAAATAAAAGTTTTCTTTGTGTAAAACAGTACATAAATCCTGGCTCTTCTTTACTTAGGAATAATACTGCATATATTTCAGAAAGGGACATCATCGTTTTCTACCACGTATCAAAGAATACCGTTGGTATTTTAATTCATATTTTGTTTCAGGGGACAAAGGACCCTTCCCCATAGAACTAGTTAGGAATTAGAACCCAACTCTTTTCCCCACCCAATACATTAAAAAAAAAATAAGTACAAGTGTTAAATAGATCAAGTAGTAAATCTGCATATTTACAGGCACATCAAATTAGAAACACTGTTTTAGACCATGCCGAACCACATGTATGTGTATAAAGCTATAGGTGCAATAATTCATAGCAGCAGAGTAGGAATCGTATTCCATAAATAGTACCTGGTGGGATACTTGGAGGAAAATAAAATTCCACATGTGACAATTCAAATTCATGAATCATCTTCTCAGACACAATGAAAAGGTGAAATCTTATCCATGCTTACTTGGTAGAAATGTCTATTGACTGCACTGGAACTTAACTCTGAGTAGCCCTGTATTGGACTGCAATGAACGGTATTTCCATTTCAATGAGAGCTCATGACTAGCTGGTAATAGTAATTAATCATAAGTGCTACAAGATTAAATATACCACTGCATACTTTGGGAAATTTATGTGTGAACACCTTTGACAAACATATCAGACAGGAAACAAAGCAAATGCAAAAACAAAAAAAAAATCAAGACAAAAACATTGTGGCTATACTATATACTGCTATATTTTAATGTGGGCTTTCATGGATCAAGTCCACTTCCTCAGACATAAGTGTGAAACTGGTAATTGTTTATATGTGGCCCTTTGACCCAGTGAGGACACAGAGCAATAGTAGGTTAGTACAGTTGATGCAGGTTGCAAATGTTGTGAGTTAATGTGGCATTTCACATTTAAAAATAACTTAAAACCCTTGACAGATACTCAGTTATTTTAAGGAGATTTCTTTCCTTTTGAAGAGTTGTTCTGCAAGGATGCTATACCAAGAAATCATTGCCACTTTTTACAAACACAATGTGTCTATCTCAATTTTATTTATTTATTTATTTTGGTTTGTCTGATATTTTTGCATAGACTCACGTGGATACTACTGTACTTCAAAAAGCTTAACAAACAGGAACCCTTAACACTACTTCCCATAGGCATTTAAGTCATAGATCTGAATGTCTCAGCAGTTTCACAGTACAAGTAATAATGAGTAGGAAAGAGTAAGTAAGAAAGTTCAGGAGCACATGATACTGCTAACTTTCAGATTTACAAAACTTGGTTTTGTTATGACTGGTATCTATGTTTAAAAGGGCAACTGCATTTAAGAATGGACAGTGGTCCAAAAGTAAATTTAAAAAAACACCAGATCAATAGTAAACATTTGTCATTAATTATTATGGGCATAAAGGTGTCATACGAAAAGAGGTCAACATTTGACTTTTCCCTCTTTTCTAGTTTTTTCCAAACCTATAGAAGAGATGAAATTGCAGAGATGGAATTAATAAATCCCCTTAACTCCAACACCTAGAACAATCTGACTGAGTTCCTTAATAAGACCGACGACTGAGATGTTGACTGACAAAGAATACAGTATATGAACATGCACTTATCGCACTAAAAGGAGGTGGTTTTTGGTAGCGTGGTGCTTCCCATTGTGCATACATTCCTATTCTGAAGAACTTGCAGCTCGTAATAGGCCTGAAGTAATACACAGCACATTTATTTTCAGTGACATGATACTTTACAATTACTATTAGAAATAGTGTGAAAACTAGTGCTTTGGTTTTATATAGGTATGCACTGTGGAGTGTGCCATGCATATCAAACAACTTATCACCTGCAAGGCTGCTCATAGCATAGTAGTCTGGGTGGGAAATCCTATGGATTGGTCTTGTCCACTAAATCATGGACAAGTAGGAGGTGGATGTATTTCACTGGAAGATTTTGGGTGACTTCCCACACACTGGCCAGTCATAGGCTGATATCCAGTAGCATAACTTATGCTGTGCAAGGCTGATGACATCATCATCAGCTGTGGTTTTTCAGAAATTAATTGGTCTCCCTCCCCAAAGGATCTGAGTCTCCCATGCAATCTCTTTTATAGAATCGTGGAAACAAAGAATCATGGAGTTGGAAGGGCCCTATAAGGCCATCAGGTCCAACCCCCTGCTCAATGCAGGAATTCAAATCAAAGTAGATCTGACAGATTGTAGTCTATTTTTCTTGTTAATGCTTCCACCTCACCACCTCCCAAGGTAATTGGTTCCATAGTCATACTGTTCTAACAGCACATTTTTCCTGATATTCAACCTAAATCTAGGATCCTGTAACTTGAGTCTATTATACTATGTGTCCTGCACTCTGGATAATTAAGAACAGATCCTGCTCTTCTCTGCATGACTATCTTCCAAGTATTTGAAAAGTACTATCATATCTCCTCACAATCTTCTTTTCTTAAGGCTAAACATGCGGACTTCTTTCAGGCTTTCCTCATAGGGTTTGGTTTCCAGCCCCCTGATCATCATTGTTGCCCTCCTCCAAACGTACTCCAGTGCCCTGATCATCGTTGTTGCCCTCCTCCAAAAGTGCTCCAGTGTGCTGGCATCCTTCTTAAAGTCCAGAACTGGACACAGAATTCAAGGTGAGGCCTAACCAGTGCTGAATAGAGGGGGACAAATACCTCGTGGGATTTGGAGCTTATACTTCTATTAATGCATCCTAAAATAGCATTCGCTTTATTTGCAGCCACATTGCACTCTTGGCTCATATTCAGTTTTTGATCTACAACAATTCCAAGATCCTTCTCCCTCAAAGTATTAATGAGCCAAGTATCCCCCCATCTTGTAATTGTGTATTTATTCCCCCCAGTAAAGAATCTTGCACTTATCCCTATTGAGCCTATCAAGATCGTTTTGAGTTTTGTTCTTGTCTTGAGCTTTGTTCCTGTCTTCCAAGGTATTAGCTGTTCCACCCAATTCTGTGTTATTTGCAAATCTGAAAAGTATTCCCTGCACCCTTTCATCCAAGTTATTCATAAAAATGCTGAAGAGCACCGGGCCCAGGACTGAGCCTTGTGGTACCCCACTTGTTATCTTTTCCCAGTTTGAGAACGAGCCATTCATACACACACTCTGAAGATGAATTTGCAATCACCTGTGTATCTTGTTAGTTATGAATTAGTTCTTGACAAATCCAAGTCACATTCTAGTTATTAATGCATTGGTTTCTGGATGACCACTTTATAATCTGCTCTAGAATTTTCCCTGGGGTTGAGTTTTCCCTGACTGATATGTGGTCACCAGGTTCCTCCTTTTGGCCTTTTGAAGACAGGGATGTTTCATCATGGGGAATACACTGAGGACAGTCTTTCATTTCTAAAAAAAAAAATCACTACCAGCACTTAAATAATCAGAGTTGGCAATATTAGGAAATTAAAAACTCCCCCTCCTGCAGCACCATGATGAAAGGTATGGTGGCGGCAGGGGCAGGAATCTGTAATTTTTAATTTTTTTAAAATACAAAATGACTGTGACTGATCACATCATCAGCATCATGTACCATAAGCTGAAATAACAGGATTTCAGCCACAGAGTTATCTGGATTGGGTCCAATCTGTAAAACAAATATTAGATTCAGCGGACTGTTCTGAAAGGCATTGCTCCAAAATCTGTAAGAGGAGTTCTGCCAAATATCAGAGCTGACTTGGTTAATTTAAGTTTGTATCATTTCTTTGCTACGTATACTTGAAAAGCATAAGGACAGACAACTTACTCTAATGACATTTGGCAAACCTATTAAACAGTCAAGAAAAAGATTTAGATCAACACCCATGGGAAGTAACATATTTAAACAAACTACACATCTGAGACAATTCCCTTTGATATTAATATAAGGACACTGTGATCCCCTTTATATACATACAGTAGAAGCTGAAATGGTCTGAAATGTTTACAAATTAGAAAGTGTACAGCTATATAACACCATGCCTTTTAAAAAAACAAACAAACAAACCAAAGTATAAAAGTTTTACAACACATTATACAGGTCCTTTTAGGATCTATAAAACATGTACTGGTACCACCATATTACAAGTCATCACTAACAAACAATTCTATTTCATTTTGATATTTATATATTTATATATATATTTATATAATCGTTACTTATATAATAATTAAAAATCACTTTTAAACAAGTATACAAGTTCACCTTAAAATTAACTTGTTAATAAAGTTGTGCAAAACAAGCTGGCCCCTATAATTATGTGAAGTATTTTATTTATTTATTTACTTATTTATTTATAAAAATATTCAAAATAAAGTTCTTTCAGAAGTGTGTCTCTTTTTCTGTGATGGCTGAAATGTTGCCATCACCTTTCCGTTTCACATCATAGTCATTTACCGTAGCAGCATATAAACTTGCTCCAAGCTTTCCTCTCATTTTCAAATCTGGACTGGCAACAATCAGTTTTCTGAATCTCTGGAGGGAGAAAAACAAAGAAAATGCAACATGCTAGCTATTTCTGTAACTATTTATTGCACACATTTGCAGACACACAGACATGAGCATACAGAGTTTAAATCAGCAATGGCGAACCTATGGCATGCGTGCCACAGCTGGCATGTGGAGCCCTTTCTGCCGGGATGCAAGCCATAGGTCACTGGATCACTACTCCCCCTGCCCCACACAGCCAAACCTGAGAAAGTGTATGTGTGTGTAGGGGGGGGGAGTAAGGAGATCCTATCCTCCCTTGAATCCTGTGAGCACCAGCAGATGGAAACAAATGAAGGAGAGAAAATAACTTGCCTTCCATCTCCCATCCTGTGAGCACCAGCAGATGGAAACAAAGGAAGGAGAGAAAATAACTTCCCTTCCATCTCCCCCTGCTTCCCTCTAATGATGTTGGACACCCCCTCCCTCCCTTAAAACCCTCTAATGATGTAGGACACCCCCTCCCTTCCTTAAAGGGACAAAGACCCAGGGGGAACTGGAGAGGAAAATGGGGGTGGTGCTGGAGGCAGGCAGGCAGGTGGAGGAGAACAACGCCCCTGCCTTCACAATGGGGGTGGTGCTGGAGGCAGGCAGGCACGTGGAGGAGAACAAAGCCCCTGCAAGGCCTTCACCGAGTGCGTGTGTACAAGACCCTGGTGCTGGCAGCGGATCCATAGTGGGGTCTTGAGGCACCTCCATGCCGGGATTCCCCCTTTCAGTCCTCCTCTGTCACTTCTGGGTCCGCCGCCGCCGTATTGCACACTGTTCCCCCCCCAGCCCAAAAAGGTTCACCACCACTGATCTAAACTATATTGGTACACATATGTAAATCTGAAAGGTGAACTATGCTGACATCTTGCTGCAGTCAGCAATCCATAAGAATTGCTTATCATAACCATCAAGGTAGAGATGGCTTATGGACCATGATAGAGGGAGGGCTCCTTACAACCATCAGCCTATGTTACATATATGCATATGTAACACAGAAAGATGTCTTGTGTTAAGTCAGACTACCTGTCTAAAGAATTCTGTGTTACCTACTAAGACTGGTAACACTAGACAAGTGTGTGTTCCATTCCCAATCCTTTTAACGATACCAGAGACAGAACCTGGTATTTTCTGGATGAAATGTCAATATTCTCATACTCTTCTGCTAAGCTATGTCTCCTCTTCTTGCTTGTTACACTTTTGTCCTGGCCTGAATAATTTGATCCAACAAACTGAATTCAGCCCACCATGTCCCACTCACCCGGGACTAGCAAAACTTAATACACAACTGTAACCTGTGGTTTACAAACCATGTAGGCCTCCGTTGGACCATACCCTTTTATTCTTTTTGTAGTATTTTAATATCCTGGGTGTTTGTTTACATTTCATTGCAGTTGAGAAAGGAGAATCCTTTCCACTGTGTTTTTTTTTTATTTTGTAATATATTACCAATACATGAAATGAAAAAAAAAATGAAAAAAAAATCAGTAAATGGGGTTAGAGCCAGAAGGTGGTATGTCCACATCCTTTACTTGTTAACTTCCTCCACTCTCTCTTTCTAATTCTGCATTCCTTTCACTTTCTCCCACCGTCCTCCTCCTTGAAACCCAGCAGGTCTGAAGCGACCATTCACAGGACCTTTAGAAACTCCTGATCTAGACCAATTTCTATTTTCAAAAGTTTCACAATTTGTAGTTTTCCACCATTGTCACTCTAGTCTTCATCCCACTCATTTCATCATCCCCAGCTCCTTAGTAAACCAAGGAACAGTTTGACTACACTTCATGGGAGGAGACACTTCAATGGGAGGAGAACTTGCATTTTATAAGAACTTGGAAATATCACATTCTGCACCAAAGCCAGATCATGTCAATAGCTCTGGCCACCTCTGCATTCCAGGGATCCACCAAAGCCTTGACAGGATTGCCTGCCAAAATTTCTGGAAACTCTTGAAAAACATCAGGAAACCATTTGGATCCATCAGTCTCCCAGGGCAGATCATTTTAGTTGACCATCCCACGCCTGCAGACTTGCAGTTCCAATAAGCCTAAACCCTACCAAATAGTGATCTATGACAATGGAACTACTGAGATTTCATTCACACCCAGATTGCCACAATTCTGTCCAGAAAACTTTGCTTACTAGCCCTGTAAAACACCAACATACCTAGTCAAATACAAACAATAGTTTAATATCCTTTCCTGTTCTAAGCAGTTATCAGCTTGTTCTAAAACAGGTAATTATAGGCTGAAATCTACTGCTTAGTCACACATGTGGAATGCACAGACAATTTACAACTCACTACTGTGATTCTCGGTGGTGTGCACTTTTGCTGGTTTGTGTTCATTCAACAATTTCAGTAGGGACTTGTTAACTGCTAGCTGGCAGCCATTGAAAGTTTTATCATTTGCTTCCTGCACGGATGGATAACTGGGGAACAGGGTTTTGAATGTAGTTTCAACATTCAGTCAATAGAAAAATTAAGGACCTAAGAAGAATCCTGTTTCTTTAGACCAAACACCCATCTCTTTCAGCAGCCTGTTTCTCACAGTATGCAATGGAATGTTCACAAACAGGACATGAGGATAACAACACAATCCCACTGTGATTGCCCAGAGATTTATATTCATATGGTTCCCAAATTGTTGAGGCAATATCTAGACATCTAGTAGCCATTGATTAGAGAATTCGTGATTTAATTGCTAGTCTCACAGAGGGACAAGTAGAAGGACTATGTACATAAACAGTGAAATACAAAGGGGTTGCAAATTGTTTACTGGGGGGACTTGGGGGTCATCTTACAGTGTTGTAGCTCTTGTTAAATAATTTCTCCCTTGACCTTTAGGAGAAGGATGTTCGCATTAGTGTGTATGTAAGAGAACCAGGCCTCTTGTTTGGGAAACGATGCCTCTGTTTTCTGAGAAAAGATAACTTTACCTGTTAAAAAACCATTTCATTCAAATGTGGTGGTGGTGGGTGTCAAGTTACTTGGATATTATAAAAGGGGGTCACAACTTGATAAAGGTTGGGAACCACTGCTTTAGGGTCACTGAACACCCATGACAATGCAAGAGATTATAGTGGTATCTGTCCAAAGAACTTGCATTTTATAAGAACTTGGAAATATCACATTCTGCACCAAAGCCAGAGTGAGTGTGTGGGTTGTTGATAACCATTTATGACAGCTCCTGTTATATCACAGAAACTGGGCCCAGTACACAGGTAGCAACGTAGATATCACGAGTTCTGAAAAGCTGATGGTAAGTGACTCAGATTAATATGTTTTCCTCTGCAGTCCTTCAAACTCTATGTGGAACAATATAGTTATGAAAATGTGCATCACCTCTATGATGGTTCCTTCCATTTTCCACAACTTAATACAGATCCACAAAGGAATGCAAACCATGGAGGAAAGAGCCATCATCCATCCAATACCATAGCCCCAATCGGGATATATGTAGATATTGTTGTACTTCAGTGGCTTATATTTCACCAGGAAAAAGATGAAGATTCCCTAAAAAATAAGGAGGAACATATTAACCACAATCAAATAATTAAACAACTGCTCAAGAACCTCCTCCTTCAGCTGCAGTTCACTGAAATACAAGAACCCTCTTCAGGCATCAGAAAAGCAATAGTCTAAGCAAGGAGAACATACTGGCCCAACACATGAAAAGAGACAGTCTTCAGAGAAGACTGCAATATCTAGAGCCTCTCCACACAACTGGGGAACCTAAAAACCAGGTTTCCTGACTGTTTGAAGCCTCTTTACATGGAACAAGGCTTTTCCAATTCAGGCAGTCCCTGTCCATGTCAAAAGAGGTGGGAAGGGCTTAAACTGTTTGCCCCCTCATGAGTTCAGATTAACCTCTTCCTGAATGTCTGAATGGGACTTAGGTTAAACTCTGAAACTAAATGGAAAGGAGGTCACCACTATTTTTCATTCAAATCACACTCAAAAGACTTTTGCAGAAGGGAATCACTTTTTGGATTTAAATGCTATTTCACGTTCATTTAAAGACCAAATAAATGCACAACTGTGCAAAACAATTTAGAGCTACAATTGGCTGTTGACTGGAAAGAACTTCTGCCCACAAAGGGATGGATGATTCTACTTTCAACCCAGTGATATCCTACCATGCATCATTTTGCATGCCATTCTCAGGTGTAACTTTGGAGGGATGCATGAACAACTAGAATAAGAAGTATATCTGTGAAGATTCTCAGTCATCTGGATGAGGTTATCTGGAAGTTGCCATGACTCAACTTCCAGATAAAACAAGAAGTGTGGCCCAAAAGAGACGTAAGAAGATAAAGCACGTCCTTGACATGTGGAAATCAAAACATAATGTATACAATTCTTCCGCTAATAGCTACATAGGGCAGATGCAATATAAGAATCATTGTATGATCACATTTAAAGAAGATAGCATGCACCATATCCTTGTCTGCATCAGGATGTATTAGGAAAAGAAAGGAAAGAAAAACTAGAGGCTCCTTTTGCCTAAAATGAATAATTAAGGAAATACTTAAATAAATGAAATAACATTTGTTATACAAAGTTCTGTCTGTTCTTGTCGATGTGATTTTTTTTTCAAAGGGGCACCAGGAAATATGCACATTTTAGAGGTGCACTTCTTTTATTATCATATCTGTATACAAATGCAATGGCCTACTACTCCAGCATTTCCACAAAAGAATTGAGTGAAAACCTTTTCAAAAATTTTACAGATGGCTCTACTATGTTAATCATATTTTTATTACTTACTGCACAAATCCCAGGAGTGAGGAGCTTCCAACACCATTTAATCAATGGCAGTGGTCTGTATCCAATCATATCTTCAATATTGTCATAAAACCGATTGCTTCCTGCGTAAAAGAAGTAACAGTGAATATAAGTGACATTAACGCTCTTTGTCTATTTGTCTGGAGTTTGTTTTACAATGGCTCACTTTCTAACCATGGTCAGTGAACCAATTAGATTCTAAGTCCAAGGAAAAGTTACAATGCCTTCCTAAGTAGCACACTTTGCTTTTCCTCCTCCTCCTCCTCTTTTTTTGGGGCGAGGGGGTCACCCTATTTTGCAAGACGGAGGGCATTTTCAGAGTCTCTGTTGAAAACATCCTAAAACTTTTGGGCCTTCCTCGAGCTTAAATAGTGGCAAGAGTGCTGCTGCCTCAGAGTTCTGGAATGATGTTGCATGAAGTATTGTTCTGACTCAGACTGGAAGTGATGGAGTTTCCATGAGTAGAGGCTACCAACTTTTATCCCTAAAGCCCTCTTATAATGACACTACTTCATGGGGTACTGTCATTTCAGGAATACATTGGTCACTTATCAAGGGGAACAGTACTGAAAAACAGACAGACAGACAGATGAAAAAGGTTCACACTGGGACTCTCTTGGAAAAGAGAGGGATGATTTTACAGGTTTCATATGACAGATGGCTCATCTTGCAAGACTGCAGTTTCATATAAATTATGGAAATGATATTTGTTCAATACCTTGCTTTCAGCAGTTTAGGCTATCTTAGCACAACAAGGCATCTTGATAAGGATTTTGAAAATTTTTGCAAAATCCTTTACCTCCAGCCAAGAACAATAACTACTGTATTTCCTTTCTTCCCCAGGGTCTTGGAAGTGTGTGTGAAATGTCTTTAATCCTCTTTCCGTTTGAGAATCAAACCATGGACACACATATACACTCTACAGCCAGAGAAGGACTTGCTGATTGTTAAGAAAGAGACAAACAACCCATTGAGGGCTTTGAATTCTTAAAGAAAGCAGCAGTCAGCTGACTTTGGGGAATTCATGCAGTTCACACAAAACATCATTCTATCAAGAACACTATCAAGAACACTATGACATTAACTTCCACCCTCACCAACAAAATAGAGAATGTTGTGGCCCATCATTTTGATAAGCAAAGTTAAGACAAGTGAGGACTGCTATCCTTATCAGAACAGGAGTCCGAAAAGAATTCATCAAAAGAGAAAATCCATACAACTTGCAGTATGACAGTAAAACTGATCTAGAAACTCAGGTTTAGTTAATGGAATTAAGTCTGACAAGGTCAGTTATGAAAGTCATTCTTCTGGGGAAAATTCTACGAATGATGATGAACACATGAGATAACGCCAGCAGTCTGCTTCTTTGGCAGCTACGAGATCCACTCTTTTCCCTCCAACAAGAAGGAACCTGTTGAATTCCTTCTTAAAATACTGTTGACTGTCATTTATTAACATAAATGAAAACCACTCTAGAAGGATTGATATTCTGTATGTACATAATTAAAGCAAATAAGTATTGTAACAATCATCCTGTAAATGCATATGATTTGAGAAGATTTAACTGTACAAAAAAAAAAACTGTTGACTCACCATAAAACCACCCAATGCAGACACATTCAAATATAGCAACAAAAAGAAGGCACATTCCACTGGCTGCATAGGAGTCAAACAGCTGGAAAACGTACATTCCACCCTGAAAAAGAAAACAGGTTAAATTAAAATATGATGGTTGCCGAGAATTATATTGGAGCTTTTCCAGGGACTCAGAGAATTAAAAGGGAAGGATGAAATGCAAAAAATTCTTTCTGTAAACTTACATTGGCACAGAGTTCTTAGAATCTACTCCTTTATATTTGATCTGAGTTAATTTAAATTTAGAGTGTAGAATAATCCAAACTTTTAGGAGAAAATTAACATATATATATATAGATTAAAATGTAATTGCATAGTCTGTGTATACCCTATGATGGAGCAGAACCTCATTGGATATTGTGAGAAATCATTAAGTTCTAAGGAGAATGTTGGGCATAGTTGTTGTGGGTTTTTCGGGCTCTTTGGCCGTGTTCTGAAGGTTGTTCTTCCCAATGTTTCACCAGTCTCTGTGGTCGCCATCTTCAGGGGACAGGAATCAGAACCCTGTCTGTGCTCTGGTGAAGTTTGTTTGGATAGTTGAGCATTTATAGCTGTGGGATCAGCTTTTGTCCTTTTCAGGAGGTGGATGATTGTGGTGATCCATGTGTTTTTGTTGTGGGTGTATTATTGTGATATGGGGGCGAGACTATCTGTCACTGTGATTGATGGATGTTGTTAGCTGGTCTTTTGTGTGCAGTGATCACCGGTCCTTTTGGCTGGGTAGAGTTCATTGACCTTTTGCATGCTGTATTATTCAGTATTGGAAGCCAGGCCGTGTTTAGTTTTAGTCTTTCTTCTTTTTTGTTGAAGCTTTGCTGGAGTTTGTGGATTTCAATGGCTTCCCTGTGCAGTCTAACATAATGATTGCTGGTGTTGTCCAGTATTTCAGTATTTTGAAACAGAACTTCATGTCCAGCTTGTTTTAGGGCATGTTCAGCTACTGCCATTTTTTCTGGTTATTTTAGTTTGCAGTGTCTCTCATGTTCTTTGATTCTAGTGTGGATGCTTCATTTTGTGGTTCTAATATATACCTGGCCACAACTGCAAGGTATCCGATATATTCCTGCAGTGGTGAGGAGGGTCCCTTCTGTCCTTTGCTGAAGGAAATCAACTCTGAGTGCGTAACATTTTTGTGGTGGGCTTGAATACTGTAGGTTGTGTTTTTTCAAAAGTTTCCCTATGTGGTCCGTGACTCCTTTGCTGTATGGCAAAAATACCTTATTTGGGGGAGGCTCTTTTTCCTCTTTGGTTTGGTGTTGTTTTCTTGATTTGATGTTGGGCATATTTTAAAAATTCAGATTATATAAATAGTGAGGGACAGAAATGATTCTTTTAAAAATGTGTTTACAACTACAACCTACGTATATCAGCTTCATTATCCAACCTTCAACCAAGATTTAAACAACTGGTCTAATGAAATTATCAACCACCCTCCTTTTTTCAATTGTGCAAAAGAACTACACAGCTTTTTCTTTGTTATTATTTGAACTTGCAATTGCTATAAGTACTTCTAGAATGTATATCTACATCTACATGGATAAACGTTCTCTCATTCACTGGAAATTATTCTAAGGATTAAAACTGAAGCATTTCCTATAAATATCCAGATGTTGTTAATTGCCTGTCACATTCCTATGCATCAAACCACATATAATGTGTTGAGAGAACACTTACTAGGATTGGCCACAAATGCAGGATTGTTGTAGAAAATGTGTCTGAAGAAGTGGACTACAATCTTTGAGTGTTCACAGAGAAATAAATTTATTAGTTTATAGAGTACCACAATACTTTTGTTTTTATTTCTCTTGTTGCCAGAATGCTACTATGATCTAATCTTTTCCCCCATTAGATTAAACCACCCAGAGAACACTTTAAACACTATTGGACAGTATATAAGCAGCATGCTTTGCTTTTTTTGCTTTGCTTTTAGAGTATCTACAATCTGTATAGTGAGTAACCTGGGAATTCTCTACAGCTTCCTAATAAAATATCTTAATTTATTTGCCTAGCCAAGAAATATATACTGTTCCTCTGATTATTTAGCAAATGAGCTAATTACTAAAGCCCTCTTGAGAGGTGGTCTTGTTCTGGGCTCTGTAGTTAGCATACTGAGGATGAAATACATTGCACAACAAATTGCCCTCAGTATTATTTTCAAGTGATCCCAAGAAACTACCCACTGGAATTTACCTTTCAGATCTGCTGAATATAAATGTATGACTTCACCCTAAACCAAGTTAAATAGAAAGGCTCTAACGAAGATCGTTTCATAATAGAATATAGTACAAGAGTGCCATTTGGTGGGTTATGGCACATACTGCAACTTGATTTATTTTGCAGGGCTCATGCCACAGAGAGTATGACTTGTACTCTTCCAAGGAGCATCCATAGTAGCAAGCAGCAGGCATGCTGTGTTTCGGGGGGGGGGACTCTTTTTCTTACAGCCCTTAAAAAATGGCTAGGTAAGCACTAAAGCGGTAGCATTAACAATCAGACAGTGTGGATACAATCTAGCAATTGAGTAGGGAACTGAACTATCCACAATGGAATACAGTTTGCCAGCCAACATTAAACAGCACAGCCTACCCAAAGCTGAAACAAATCCAGCTATCCTTTTTCTTTGATTTGGGGCCTGATTCTGGGAAATACAACAAATTTGTAAGGAAGGAGGATCAATTCACTTCAGAAGCAAGCAAAGGAAACAGACTAGAGGCCACATCCTATATTTCTTGACCCCTTATAAAATGGCAATATGGTGCCTCTAGGAGATGTTTGCCCTTGAATACATATCTCTGGTCAATAATAGCAAGAAAGTACTAAAGCCCTGACAAGAGCTTGTGGTCTTCCCAGTGACATCTGATCAGCTACAGTGTGAAACAGAATTCTAGAGTGGTTTAACACAGCAGAGAACTTTTTATGTTAAAATAAAAGGAGGACTCCAAATTATTAATTAATTAATTAATTAACTGAATTTATATCGCGCATCTTCTGGCAACCAGGCCACTCTGGGCGGCTAACAACAATATAAGGAGGGGGGAAAATTAAAAACACAATGAAAAAAAGTTAATACATAACAAATCAGAAATTAAAACAGATGTCAGTAAGGTGGTGGAAAGGGTGATGGAGAGGTTAGCAAAAAGAATGGTAAAAAGGGAGGACAAGATCCCAGTACTCTGGGAAAGCCTGGCAGAGTCAGGTCTTCAGTGCTTTTTTAAATCCGTCCAGCGAGGGTACCAGACGAATCTCAGTTGGCAGGTTGTTCCATAGGCAGGGGCAACCACCGAGAAGGCCCGGTTTCTAGTTCTTTCCCTCCGGGTCTCCTTTGGGGTCAAGGTTGTCAACCACCCTGCCTGTGAGGAATGGGTATTACAGACAAATCTGTCTGGGAGCAGGCGTTCTGATAGGCACCTGTGTCCTAAACTGTTTAGGGCTTTAAATGTTATCATCATAACCTTGAAGTCAATGTGGAAACAAACCGGTAGCCAATGAAGGGCAGCCAGAGTGGTAGAGATGTGCTGAAATTTCTTCACCCCAGTTATTAATCTGGCCACTGAATTCTGGAACAGTTGAAGTATCCGCATCAACCTCAAGGGTAGCCCCACGTAGAGAGCACTGCAGTAGTCAATTCTTGAGACTATGAGGGTGTAGTGCAGTGGTTCTCAAACTGGGTCCCCAGATGTTCTTGGACAGCAACTCCCAGAAATCCTGGCCAGCACAGCAAGTGGTGAAGGCTTCTGTGAATTGTAGTGCAAGAACATCTGAGCACTCCAGTTTGAGCACCACTGGTGTAGTGGAACCCCACGTCACGCCTGTCCATCATGGGAAGCTCAAAGGCAGAAGCCTATGAGAGGACAGGAGGGGCGGAACCAAGGAGGACAGTTAGACAGTTAGGCAGACATTTAGATAAGGGAGTTGGAGAAAAGAGGTTGCTGATAGAGAATTGAAGAGAGAGTTAGGAGATTGTATTGAGAAAATTAAGAGAGATTGCTAGAGAGAATAGGAAAGAGTTTAAAAGTATAGAGAATATATATATATAGTCCAAGAATATTATACCAGTGAATAAAAACAAACAAACCCACTGATATTTAATGAATAAGCCTAAACATCTGCGATTTACTCCTGTAATTTGCATAACACATATAAAATCAATAAACCTGTTGTATTGGCAGCACGTGTCTAAGACCTATCTATTTGGTATTGAGGGAATAATACCTGGTGGCAGCGTGAAGTGAGGAAACGCATCCAGAGGGTGGACTTGTGTTTAAGGCAAAATAAACAAAGGACACAGGGTGTACGTCACAGAGGGCATTAATCAGCATTGCACAGGGTGTACGTCACAGAGGGCATTAATCGGCATTGCGAGTGCACCCATGTCTAGACAGGGATGCAGCTGGGCAATCCTTCTGAGATGGAAATGAGCTGCCCGGACCACAGATGTCACCTGGGTTTCCATGGTGATATCTGGGTCTAGGCAGATGACCAAGCTGCAAACCTCACTCATCGTGGGGAGAGTAACCCCCCACGGAGAGGGAGTTTCCCAACCCATTGACGCCAGGACCACACACACACAAGATTTCCATCTTGTCTGGATTCAACCTCAGTCCATTTGGCCTCATCCACCCCAGAACGGTCTCCAAGCAGCATTCAAGGGACAGAACAGCATCCACTACAGTAGGAGAAAAAGAGAGGTAAAGCTGGGTGTCATCAGAGTACTGATGGCACAGAGCTCCACAACTCCGGATGACCTCACCCAGCGGCCTCAAATAGATATGAAATAGCATTGGCGAGATGATCAACACCTGTGGAACCTGTGGAACTAGTCATCTTGCCAAGCTGCACTCTCTGGGCATGGTCCTCCAAGAAGGAATGGAGCCACACCAAAGTGAGGCCACTAATCTCCAACTCAGAGAGCTGGCCCAGGAGGATACCGTGGTTGATGGTATCAAAGGCCGCTGAGATATCGAGGAGGACCAACAAGGACATATTGCCCCTGTCAGCCTCCCTCAGGAGGTCATTCTGCAGGGCGACCAATGCTGTTTCCATACCATGCCACAGCCTGAAGCCCAACTGGAATAGATCAAGGGCATCAGTTTCTTCCAGGAAGGCCTGGAGCTGATCGGCTACCACCCTCTTGACCACTTTACTCATGAAAGAAACATTGGTGACGGGCCTATAATTACCAATTTCATCCCTTTAAAGGTATTTAAAACAAAAAATACCTTCAGGGTGCAGGGGCAAGCAGGACCTGGGATGGCCCTAAAATGTCCACATGTGGATGTGTCAGCACTCAGACCTCTGGAGGTTGCCGATTCCTTTTCTAAAGTGTCCTCCATAACTGGATGCAGGCAACAAATAATTTAAGGAGCCACCCTTCTGTGTGATTGAGCATGCTTTTGTGTGGGACACAGGGTGCCCAAAGGACTGACTTTGTCCATAATGCTAATTTTTAAACTAACCACTGAAGATGTTAAAACAGGACAAAGGCAAAACAAAGTGAACCATTAAGAACAGTTCATCTATAGTTAATTGTTGTAAGACAATCTTGAAGTTTATTTGCTTGTTTTAGAAAAACATGTCATCCTTGTAATCTGGAGGAGGGGGGAATGTGCTTGGATGCCAGCGTCATTTCTTGTTCCCTACAGTTGTGTCATCAGGACAGGTAATTAACGCTTAGACTATCATGTTCACAATGGTTGTCTGCTGAAAAGTGTAAACATACATTTACAAAATGTTGCCAAATCCTATTAATTCAGCAATTCAAAACAACAGAATAGGAAAACATCCTTAAATCTACTCTCCTTATTTTAAATTATTAATGTACTTCTCAGAACCAAAGCAAAAAAACACAACCCTCTGGCATTTCCACATATGGGAGTAAGAAGGCATTCTCACATATATGCAATAACAAAAGGACATCCATGGTGATCCTTTGAGATGACATTTTCCTGTTTCCAGGTATTTTATCCTGAATTCAACTCATAGTTCCAGTTAGGGGACTGCCATTGATTCAATTGGATTTGCATAAATTTTCACTCACCATTCAACAACCTATGCAATGACTGGGACTACCACTGGAATGTAGGCCTTAGTATTTTATCACAAAGCAACATTTAATCAGTATTTCTGCAGATACCATATTTTATCAATCCTCAGACACATCTTACCTCTGTTAACATTATTAGGCCAAGGAAAAATGATACAATTGAAAGAGCAAGAATCAACAGCTCTCGTCTGTATCCCCTCCGGAAAACTTTTGGATACATGTCCACCACAGCTGTCACAAGACTTTCAACACAGACAAACTGGAAAAGAAATGCAGAAAAAAGCAAGCTATTAGTACAGAATGTATAATCTCTATAGCATTGCCTGGGCACAAAAGCTTTACTCTTCATACAGCTCAACCCAACTGCAAAAGTGTGATGTGTTCGCTCAAAAATTCCAATTTATCACTCGTACTAGCCCCCACCCCTTTTTTTGGTTAATATTGGGTTGCAGCGCTTCTAGAGGTGTCAGGCTGTTCTTATACTCCTAGCATGTCTGGCAAGAGCCCTTTGCACGGCAATACTGTGTGATTTTCCTCAGTGCTGAAGTACCACTGCGAGTCACTACATTAAGCCCTGGGCAGTGCATTATATTACAAAGTCTATGATATAAATAATCTGAGAGATCATAACTTGCCCTTGGCAATGAATTTCTCTGATCAGATGATATTTCAGCTTAGATTTGCCTATCCAATCCATTTTATCTATGGCACATTGCCTGTCACTCCAGTCTTCAGTAACTTTAAATGTCATTTCTGTTCTCCAGCTCATTTTTCCAATTCAGCTAGAGACTGTGTGTGTGCATGGATGGGTGATGTATCCTCATCATTTCCAACAGCCAGGACTGAATATATATATATATATATTACCAAAGAACAGATTAATTATGATCATCCGTCCAGACTGTACCACAAGCACTACAAAATGCAAATTATATGCCAGTCCGATCACACCCCAATGCCAGTCTGATCACACACAATGAATTTCTAACAACTAACCTTATTGTTTTTCAGTTTTCTCAAGACTTGTGCCTGTTTGAAGTGACAGGCAGTTTTCCTACCTTATGGCTGAAAATTCTAATGCACATCTCCACAAAAAGCATAACTTTTGGAGGTGATTGCCTCAAGCAATGCCATAGACATTATCTGTTGCAAACTGAGTTACCGCAATTGAGATAAGTTCTATGGACAGTCATTAACCTGAAGCCATATCCCTCAAAAAAGTTAATGCAACAGGATTTCACACAATGAAAAGAAAATCCAAGTTACTGTCCTTCTGAATTCATACTTGCCTGTACAGATGTAAACAGAAGGAAGAAAAAACATTCACCAGAATTAACCAGGCAATTATGTTCCAGGAATATCCCCTTTGGTCATCTGAAACTAAGATTTTAGCCGGATCCACATTGAAAAAGAGTTTGTTTCATCTTATTTTAAATTATTGTTCAATTCATACCTGGCTATCTAATCCAAGGAATATGAGCATCATGAAAAACAAAGTTGCCCACAGTGGAGAAAGAGGCATCATTGTTACAGCTTTTGGGTAAGCAATAAAAGCAAGGCCAGGTCCTGAAAAAGAAAACTGTATTTTAGTAATATCCCCTTTATTCTACACTTTCGGAATAGCCTCTTTGATTTTGATGGATGAACTTATATATCATCATGGCTACATAAATGCATACATTTATCAAATGATAATTATATTAGAACACTGAATAATGGCTGTATACATGATTTTAAAAAACACACACACCTACAACAGTGAATCCTACAGTGTTGTGGACCCTACATTTCTTAGAACAATGGATGTTGGACACAAGGACATGAAGAAGTAATAAGCGATGCAATCATCTCACGTTTCCCAGCACTTCCCAGTAATGTCCAAAATATCTCACTGCCCCACAGTTGTGGGAGATTTGCAGGGTCTTTTTCAATACTACAAAAATAATGTTAATTGAGCAGTAACCAGATATTTATTTATTGATTGATTGATTGATTGATTGATTGATTGATTGATTGATTGATTGATTGATTGATTGTTTGTTTGTTTGTTTGTTTGTTTGTTTGTTTGTTTGTTTGTTTGTTTGTTTGTTTGTTAAATTCATATCCCACCCATCTAGATAGAAGTCTACTCTGGGCAGATATGAAAGATTCCACAGAAATTGAGACAGTGAGAATTTGGTTTACTTCATTGTTTAAACAAAATACTCTAAATTCTTCATTAACTGGATTGAGAGAATTTAGGATTTTAAAAACACTATAGGTGAGAGAAAACAAAGCTGGTATATCCATACAACCCTAAACAGATGGTGTTGTTTCCAAACAACATCAGTTCTTGTTGGCCATATTAACTGGATGCCAAGTTGTGGAGGCCTTTAAGAATAATCTCAAACAACTATAACCCCAAATTCTTCTGAAGCTCAGGTTCTAACCCAAACTGGATTATAATTTCCCATCCTTCCCAGGCAAAATTCCAAACTAGTGTCTTGTAATCTCTTCCTTCATCCTCTTTGTAATCTATCCTCTGGCTCCTGTGGCATGCAGCAGGTTGCCAACATGCATCAGGGGCCATTAGCCTCTGAAATGGTCATGTTCCTCAGAATTACTGCAGCCGCTGGAGAACTTTTGTCTAGCATGCAGCATATCAGCCCAGTTGTGTGTGTGTGCTCCCTTTCTTCCTTGCCAGAGCCAATGGAATCCTACCAGCAATCAGGTAATTTAGGGATGGAGGATAGTGAGGCGGATTAAGAACTAGTAGAGGGAATTTGTGGACTTCAGTGGATTAAGTTAAATCTGAATTCAGACTGGCTCGTAAATAAGCCATGGATTCAAGGAGGAAACTCTGCTTATTTCTAAGCCAATCAAATCGGAACAATCATATTTTTTCATGAGTTCTCCAAACCATCATATGTAGGGATACACCAACTTGTTTTGCATGCAAAAAGTCCTATATTTAATCCTCAGCATCTACAGTCTGGCACCCCAGAGAACTGTTGCAAATCAGTCTGGATACTGGCCTGATTCAGTTGAAATTCAACTTACTGTGTTCCTGTGATTAATTTATTCCATGTTATTACGGTAGTTGTCAAATATCTGGGACTAATGTTGACAGGTTAACAGTAGATGGGCTAACAATAAAGTGTATGAAGCTTACAAAGCCTTTAATGTTCAGAGTTTGGGCCCCTCCCAGCTCTGTTTTGCCATGCTATATTGTGTTTTGGCAATAAATCTGCTGCCAGATGTACAACAAAACAGGGGACAGTAGCCAAGTTTCCAAATTTTCTTCCTCCATTCCTTCAGAATAAATGTTTCATTTTCCATCAGTGGTGTTATTAAGCAGGTATGTCTAACAGCCTACAATGTGCTGTGGTGACATTGCATTCATGATTCTGTCATGAAGAGAAATGAAAAAGGTAGGGGAAAAAGGGAGGGGGAAAGGAGACACGTAAAAAGACAGAGAGCTTGTGAACAGCTATTAATGAACTGGAAAAATATATGAGGGTGCAGACCACTTTTTGCTCTACATTTACATTTACCTGCCAAAAGCAATTAGTAATGCACTGTATGATTACATCGTATACTATATCAGAATATATCATGAGAGTCTTTAGTTAGATTTTAAGTATTGTTCTCCAAACCTCCAAATTTAACATTTTTTGGACTACATTCTTTTCCATGTGTGAAAATGTCATTATATTTCAACTAATTATCAACTCTTTAAAAAAATATGAATTTGACAGAAGATTTTCAAATTTCCAGCACTAGCAGAGAGGTCTCCTTGAAAAAAGGATCCCACCACCTTTGCGCTGCTGCACCCCGCCAAATAAGCTGATCTGCAATGGATCCATAGAGGAGAAAATCTGGTAGAAATTCATTTTTACACCTTACCTGATTCTGCAACTTCTGCTATGGGCACTCCCTGTTCATAAGCCATAAAGCCAAGGACAGAAAAGATGGCAAAACCAGCCACAAAACTTGTGCCACTGTTCAAACAACAGAGCATAATGCAGTCTCTGTGGGGAAAAAAGAGGAAGTAAGTGTGTCATTTTAAGTGTGTGACTTCATGTGCTCATTACAGCAACTGCAAATGAACCACATGTAGGAATTTGGTACTAATACTAGATAAATCAGAAAATTAGGTACGGTGGTTACATTCCTCTTTTTCAAAAGCAATACATATATATATAAAATTAAGATATCTGCACAAATGAATGCTGAATGACTTTAACTACTAGAAAAATCTGAAGGTGCCAATGTTTGTTTATCTGTCCCTCAAAAGAGGTTGTTCAGAGGATACTCCCCATCACACCACACCACAGGGAGAACAAAGCTTCCGCAGGAGTAAAGGTCATGCTAACAGAATATTCTCAAAAGCATTCAGGATTTTTGGGGTTCCAAAAGTCTCTGGGAGTAGACCTTATTAGCGACTCCTTTAGACTATACTGTCTTTTTTATTATGAGCCACTAAGTTACATCCAATTTATAACAAGCCTAACAGTGTTTCCAAAAAATGTGAGGTATTTAAGAAGTGATTTAAGCACAGCCATCACCACCTAGGTGACCTGATTCCTCATCCATTAGTCTGTCCAGTGTACTACAGTGGCTCTCATTTCAGCAGAGATCAAAGCCTGCTAATCTAAATATTGTCAGAAAGTAATCATAACAATGAGGTTATAACACCACTTCCAATTTGTTCTTGATGAGCCATGCTGTTAGAACAGATCAAGACAGCCTGTTGAGAGTTTGTTAACACCTGTCCAATTTCTTCTCTCCAGTGTAAGAAAGAGAAAATTGCTTATTTTCACTGATACTAAACCTATTTATGAAGAAAAAAAATATCTTTCTCCTTTGCGAAGCAGACCACAGAAACATGTAGATAGATGCACATATGCATGCGTGCACGCACACGTGTACACTTACACAGCACAGAAGGATTGCAGATTGATTAAAAAGACATTTAAAGACCATTGGATGCTTCTATTTTTAAGGTCATTCAGCAAGGCAACAATCTTCATAGCTACTGTAAGCAATTTGCATAGTAATCCTTGCAAATTCAAAAACTATCAAGACTGACAGAAAATGTCTTACTATCTTTCAGATGAAGAGAGGGAAAAGTGGTTTTTCGTAATTTTTTTTATTTTGACATCTCTTCTTTTGTGTAACCTTTCAGTGCCTTTAACCTTTTGCTTGTCAAATGGCCTGATACATTTGCCATCCAACAGAGTTGTGAGAGCTGTCAGCAGTCAATCAGAATATCCAGGAAACCAGGAATTTTGGATTTATAAAAGGGCTCGAACACACTGAGGGCCCACCTTGCTTTCAACATTCTGTGTGGGATTACTGTATGCATCTCGAATATCTGCTTGCCTACTATGTCTCCGTCTTCAATCCTTTCCTTTTTTGCTCTTTTTTTAACACCCCCCCCCCCAATTTTCTTTGGATTATTTCTGCTACTGCCAGGCAGCCTTCCTGTTCATGCCTCCTTGGGATCATATTGGGAATTGACCTCTTTGGAATTCCTCTTCCTTTTCTTTTGTGAGGAGCTTTCTTTTCTTTTTCTTGGATTAGTTTTGCTGCTACCTGGCCTGCCTGGGACTCAAAGAACAAGAGATGGGACAAGACAAGATGAAAAAAGAGATGCTGTATCTCTACTTCTGGTGTGGAGGTGTGCTTTTCATTTGTCTTTATTTGTTTGCTTGCTTTTCTTGGTTTTTGGTAGATGTTATGTGTTTTATTTTGCTATTTTTTCCTCTCTTTTTTCTGGGGAGGGGTGCTTTTCCTGTTTGACTGTTCAACACTGTTGTTTTATTAGTTTACAGTGCATCTAATCTGTTGAAGAGGGAATTAGGAATGTTTTGTTTACTTCTGTGGCAATGTAAACGATGAGGGATGGATTTTGTGCTTGTGGCAGTTTCCCACTGGGCATTGTGAAAATGCCATTATAAAGTACTGTACAGCCTACACAGGTCTGATGACGATGATGTTTTTTTCTCATCTATACTGATGAGGATGAGAAAATGATGTGACAATCTATACACCACTGCCTGCACAGTCTGATGATAATTTCTTTTTCTTTTGCGTTGCCTGATGATGCTTATGATTACAACGAATAGGAAATTATGATTAGTGCATGGTCTAACACTTTTTCTTTGTCATGTACTTTTGCTTGCTTTTGGAGTAGCTAGAGTCTCTTACCTTGTGTTTGCTTTTTTGGAGTAGTCTTTAACAGATCTCTATTGCTTTTGGGGTGTCAGAAAACATGAATGGGGAAACGTGAATGTGAAACTCAAAAAAGGCTTTCCTGTGATACAAAATGGTCGGTACACAAAACTATAAACATGAAAGTGACACCTCCCCACCAAAAAACCTGACACAGAAGAAATATGAAAAATGTCACAATTCATATCCCTATATTAGTGTTTACAGAAAGAGAAGCCGTACATGCTGAATGTGTAGTCCAGCTAATATGGTAAAGTGACATCAAATCACTGTGTTGCTGTTGCACGGGCAGTTACCTACATGAAGAAAATTCCAATCCTACAACAATCTCCTTCGTGCTTGCAATATAATCATGTGTTTTATATGCTGATAGGACTTTCTATTTAGAATGGATATTGAAAAGAGGTTGGAGGGAAAACAAGTCAAAGTTTAAGGTAATATGGATATAATACAGATAGCATTATAAAAGGGTTTAAAAAATTCAAACTGATTTTTTAAAACAGTTTTTGTGTGTGTTTCCCAAAGATACTAAAAAAAGGAGATCTATTTAAGAGGACACCTAAGATAGGAACATGTCTCACACCATAAGTAATGTTAAGATATAAATTCTGATTTGTTTAATTTGTTTACAATTGTGATTTAGTCACCTTTATCAATGCACACATATAATTCAAATATGTGCTAAAAACCCACACAATTTTTTTTACTAATGTAGTACATTATGAACAAGATTATAAATAAACTGGAATCAACTTTTCAAATCTGGACAGAGTTATTTGGAAAAAAAATAAACAGAAGCTTGTTTTGAGTAACTAATGATAGAAAACTAAGAGGGAGAATGAGAGAATAATGCCTGCTTTAAAACTAAAAGGGATCCACATTAGAGGTTACACTAGAGGGAGCCAAAACTCTGCTTTCAAATTGCCTATAAGGTTAATACCACACCACTGTTCCTACCGTAGCTCAGATGGTTAAAAAACGTCCACCAAATGGTCTTTACTTTTGTTCTGGCCATTGTGCTACTTACACACAGACACAGAGACAAATTTATCTTCATAAATGACATCACCTATCAAAAATCATAGGGGAAATAGCCTAAAAGTCTTTTATTTTCATAGACCATGCAAAAATACTTGAATGGTCCAGAAAAACAAAAAACAAAATAAAGGGAGGATGAAGAGAAAGCCATGTGGTCATTTAACACACTTGGATAACATCCCATTGGATGTTAACACAGTTGGATAACAAGGTTTGGCAATAGCTTTATCAGACCACTAAAATATCTTGAACAGGTGCTACCTTTTGAGTCCTACAGGGCTCTTCATCAGGCTGGTTATGATGTAGCAGGGTGCACTGCAGTAAAAAATTAATAGCCTGCCAAATCATGGCCAGATATACAGCTGCATGCATCTCAATACAAGTCAACTGAGAGCTAATGTGTGACGGGCAGCTTATTTATCTAGCATGATGTGGCGGAACAGGATGCAATCTCCATTATTTGGGGCAAAACCTGGAACTTGCCACCCAAATGGCTCTACAGTGCTGCATCCTTCATTTTGGAACTTGCTTTAAACAAGAGAGTCTGGCATGTGTACAGTATCTGTCCATGATTTTTGAGACAACTCTCTTCTTTGGTCTTTCCCTCCAGCTCTGTAACATTCAGCCTGAAAAAGAGCCCTGTAGGACTGAAAAACTGGTGCTTGTTTCTGAGGTATTTAGTGGTCTAATCAAGGTTTTGTTAACTAATAGTGTGTAATTTACTGTTGAGTAACGGTCAGATTGTGGAACAACAGTATGATCTGAAGTCATGTTTTTATACCAGTACGAAACCACTATTAATTCATTGCTTCTGGAGTTACAGTGCTATGAAGATAAAGGTATTAGGGCATTAGCCTCTGAACTAGCTCACTGAAGAAAATAATTGGAAACCAAAGTACTGTAGAAGGTCCTTTGGACTACACTTAGTGAGATGCAGCAGATGTTGATTCATCTATGAGCTTTTCCTTTCTTCTCTTTCTTCTCCAAATTTGCTCCAGCATGTCTCACAACTCACAATTTGAAGTATATAAATGTCATAAAGAACACTACGACACGTTTTCTTAAAAATAATCTAGTTAACTAAGTCCTAGACTTCTAAAATACAGGTGGGCAGCTTGAGACTTTCTAGGTGTGGTTGGACTGTAACTGCTATCAGCTCTACTTAGCTCAGCCAATGATGAGCTGCAGTTCAACCACCACTGGCAAACCACACGTTGGCTACGTAGAATGTTCCATTTGGGGGTTTAGGGGACTCCATCTCCCACAATTCTCTAAAAGTCTCCCAGGAAAACTTCTAGGAATTCCAGCACAGAGACCCACATCTAAAGACATCTACATTTCATTGGCTGGGACCAAGGCCTATTTCTGAGGCTACATGGCTGTCTTGGGCCTTGGTTTGAGTTGGCAATGTACAAAGAAGGAAACTGTTCCAGTACTTCCTGGGAAATTTTAATCCTGTCTTTTAGACTCTATAGTGGGCACCTCCCAAAAGACTACATTTCTTGAATAAGTTCTATTAAAAATAAGAATTACACATCTCTATTAGCCATTCCCACCTTAAAACAATGCTACTGTGCACATCAGTGTACACTCAAAGAAAATCCATCTTTGTTGAACTTCCCACAGGAAGATGAAATTACATAGTTTCAAAGGGCCTTTGGTATCTCGGACTGGCTTGTGATGTGTTTTTAATGAATATGTTTACTCAGTTTTTAAAAAATTCTTTAAATCTGTTTTTAATAATTTTAAACTGTCATTACTGTTTTACTATTCTGTATATATTTACTCCTAATGTCTATGCACAAAGGTTCAGTGTTTCTAAATTAGGTCCTAAATCTCTACAGTGCAGCTGTGCCTCACCTGTAGCAGTTGTTATGGTAGTTGTTGTAGCTCCCTAGGGCTGTCAAGCATCCCAGGCAGATGGCATAGGAGAAGAATATCTGTGTCCCAGCATCCACCCAGACCTGCAAGTACAAAATGTGACAACGATTATGGGACTGAAAGAATACTGTTTTATTTCTGAAAATCATGAAGTAAAGTTTGTTTTAAAATGATCACAAGAAGCACTCTTGCATTATGAAAAATCTGAAAAATTCCATTAAATGCAGTGGACAAGACAGTACAATAAAAATGATGATGATGATGATGATGGTTGTTGTTGTTGTTGTTGTTGTTGTTGTTATTCAGCATCAGCATGAATAAGTTGTTTATTCTCATTAATTTTTGTGCCTGCTCTAGGTTATATATGATATCTAGTTATTTTTAAGTGTCTAAAATAGCATGAATTACATCCCCAGGAGCAATGTGTGATTGTATAAATCTCCCAGGTGAAGTTAAGAAGCTGGTGTAGGAAATTTCTGCTGTTATTGTTGTGTGGTGGCTGTTGTATTGCAACACCAATTCTGTTATGATGGTGTAAAGATTCTTAAGAACTTAAGCAGAATGTGTGGGTGAAGAGACCCTTGTCCAGCAGGCCGAGGCAAAGAGGCAGTCCCCAAGCCTGCCAAATCAGGGAGTTGGACATGCGACAGACTATACAGTCGTGCCCCGCTTTAAGATTGCCCTGCATTACAACGAAACCGCATTATGACATGTTTTTGCAATCACTTTTGCAATCGCAAAACGATGGTCTGAATAGGGTTTTTTTGCTTTATGATGATCAGTTCCCTGCTTCGGGAACCGATTCTTCGCAAAACAATGATTTTCGGACAGCTGATCGGCGGTTTCAAAATGGCTGCCGGGTAAATAAAATGGCTCCCCGCTATTTTCTGGGACGGATTCCTCACTGCACAGGCACCGAAAATGGCCACCCGATAGAGGATCTTCACTGGACAGTGAGTTTCCAACCCATTGGAACGCACTGAAGGGGGTTCAATGCGTTTCAATGGGCTTTTTATTTTCGCATTACAACGTTTTCGTTCTACAGCGATTTCGCTGGAACGAATTAACGTTGTAATGCGAAGCACCACTGTACTTGTCTCCAGTGGGGAAGGGATTGTCACTCTCGAATTGGCCTTCTCAGCCACACTAGACGCTGTTCCAAGACCTCTATTCAGAGCACGTTACCGTAGTCTCTCAAGACTGAAGGATGCCTACACAGATGGGTGTACTGAGCCTTATGCAAACAGTTCTGACATTAGAGGAGTTGCCAAAGCCTGTAGCCAAATAAAGTTCCATACATGCTGTTGCACAAGGGATGTTATTTGTGTTGCATTGCACAGTGCTCTGATCCTCCTCATCACATCACTTGCTGCTCTGCATGCATATGGCTATGGTAAAAGATGGTGAACGAGATACTAAGCCACATAAGATTTAAAGATAATAATAACCAGAGCGTCTCCTCATGTGCTCTGAAGATGCAGGGAACAATTTTAAGTACGTTTTCGATCCCTGAGCTGTTTTAGGCCAGAGGAAGCCTTCTTTCAAAAGTAGAGGAGATATTTGATTTGTCAAGATCTAGGGGTGGCCATGCACTAGGTTGCTCATTCATGCCTTAGAGGCAATGGTATGTGACCAATTCTGTCATCTGACAGCACTTGCAAACTCCTCTACTGAGCCACCCTCTCTCTTACTTTGCCTTTCTCTTCGTTTGTTGCCTTCAGCTTTCCTCACTCAGCATTATTGTCTTTTTCCATTGACTCTTGTCTTTTTATGATGTGCCCAAAATACAATAGCTCTAGTTTAGTCTTTTCTTCTTCCCTGGAGAGTTCTGGCTTTATTTAATTTAGGAACCAATCATTTCTCCTTTTGGTCGTACAGTTTATTGTTTTTAAAAATATTAATCCACTATAACCTATAATCTAAACTTCCCAAAATTCGGTCAAGACTATATTTGTAACAGGGTGATTCTGAGCTGACAGATTTTTAATGCAATCTGTGGTGAATGAAGTTTGCAAATGATTTCTGTCAGGATATTCTGTACTATTTTCAAAGATAGCATACATGCATTTAATTGTTTAATTGTTTCTAATCTCTTGTTTGCATTATCTACCAGTGTGCAGTATAGACATTTCCTCTTTTTAAACAATGATTTGTACAAAAATTGAGTATTAATTTAAAAATTATCCTATGGGTAATCTCACAGTTGATAAAAATAATGGGAACATCAACCAATCACTGATAATTACACATTTTCTCAGCAAGCATTCAAGCAGAAACCTCAGCTGGGTTCCAAGGGTTTTCTCATGTCTTACACTGCAGGCATACAGTATATTTAGTGATAATGTCAATTATGTGCTACTTATCATATAGCCTAACGGGCACTGAACTTGCACAACTCCTCTTGTGATGTTGATAGGACTGTGGTGACTGTGTGCTACTGAATGCAGTCTAAAGGGAGATCCAAAAGTAAATCAACAGTCTTACTACTCTGTTTTCCCAAAAATAAAACCTAACCTGAAAATAAGCCCTAGTATGATTTTTCAGGATGCTCGTAATATAAGCCATACCCCCCAGAATAAGCCCTAGTTAAGGGAAAGCCTGCCCTCCACCATTGTACAGCAACCAGAAGATGACATGACTGTATTTGAATAAACATAGATTGTTGTACATGAAAAGGAATAAAGCATCCCCTGAAAATAAGCCCTACTGCTAATTTTGGAGCAAAAATCAATATAAGACCCTGTCTTATTTTCGGGGAAATATGGTAGTTAATCTTTGATAATAGCCAAAGGTTCAACTAGATGTAGATAATAGCAAATGATAGACCCAGCATCCATGGATTTGCTTTCAGAGTTACCTAACATGAAGCAATTGTGGATGTATATTCCACAGATTAATTATGAACAGTACCCAGGCATTGTAGTGATAGATTCCCAGAAAGGTAGGTATTTCCAGAGGACAGGACGGGTGGAGTGGTGTGTGATCTCGGTCATGGGAGCATCAAATGTAAAGTTTGGGCTTGCGGTCATTGCACCTAGTAATGGGTTGTTGGCGGGGTTTATTTCTTTGATTTCTGAAACAGGGTGTATAATATGTTTGTTTTGGAGGATCACATTGGAATTTTTAATTTGAGTTGTACAGTCATTTCCATTGATTTTGTTGGGGCCGTTGTTGGTAAGATGGATAAACTTCCCAACGTCTAGCTGCTGATCTTTTCTTTTGCACGTTTTCCACAATATCATCAGTTTAAGCATTAAAGAGGCCTGCCCCATAGCATGAAAGGTCTTTGATATGTGCACGGGCATCCTCAGCAAAGCCAGACAAACGTCGTAAGGCTTCAGGCTCATTTGGATGAAAAAATGCCCTGGATCCATTCCAGTTGGGTTTCAGGCCGCACCATAGTACAGAAACAGCATTGGTCGCCCTGTATGATGACCTACTGAGGGAGGCTGACAGGGGTAAAATGTCCTTGTTGGTCCTCCTCGATATCTCAGCCGCCTTTGTTACCATCGACCACGGTATACTCCTGAGGAGGCTCTCCGAGCTGGGAATTGGTGGCTTGGCACTTGCCTGGCTCTGATCCTTCCTGGAGGACTGTCCTCAGAGAGTACAGCTTGGGGAGAGAGTCTTGGCCCCGTGGAGCCTCAATTGTGGGGTGCCGCAGGGCTCAATTATCCCCCAAAGCTGTTTAATATCTACATGAGGCCACTGGGTGGGGTCATCAGGGGGTGTGGGGCATCGTGCCATTAGTACAGTGATGACACACAGCTCTACATCTTTTCTTTTTTCTTTTCCATCTTCAGCAATTGATTACCGATGCTGTATTTTACTGTTATATTTTAAATTGTTTTATATTTGTCTGTTGTTAGCTGCCCAGAGTGGTCGATTGATAAATAAATAAATAAATAAATAAATAAATAAATAAATAAATAAATAAATAAATAAATAAATAAATATGTAAGGCTACTGAAGTGGCCATTGACTTTGCTGTGCTGTCTACCGTGTGTCTAGCAGAAAATGTCTTTTGTTTGGTAATGGAAAGAACTTCTTGTTGAAAGGTTTGGACAAGTACTTTTTTATCTTCTGGTAAAGATTCAACAGAGGTTGACATATTGTCCCAAAGGAAACCTTGACATGTACCCATGGCTCCCTGGTAGTTAGCAACATGATGATGAATGCTGCTGATGAGTAAAGCCATCTTCCCATTGAATCAATCTTTCTACTGTCTTTATTTGGTGGTACGAGGGTTTGTTGATGTAGAGATCTGGATTGTGAGGCTTAGACAAAAATAGAGTTTGGAGGTGGTTGTTTTTGAAGAAATAGAGCTCCAGGATCATGAACTCTGTAGAGATTATCGATTCATTTATACATGGTATGGGAAGAGGCTGGTTTTGTCTAGGATCATTGGGCAGTGCTGAGTAGAGACACATTGAGATGTGTACTGGAGTAGTTGTATCCTTAGAGATTGGGTAGTATAGATGATAGGCCGGTTCTGTCGAAGGTTGGTGGATTTGGAGATTGAGAGACTTAACTATACGGATCATAAGTTGGGCGTAAGTCTTCCGCCGGTGATGGTGGGTCGGCATTGACGAGGTCAGATTCTGGTGAGGTAAGTAATACTGATGGCATCTGAGGTCTGGATCTGTGATCAGAATAATCGAGATCGTGTCGGGAGTTGACAGATTGTCGATCAACTTCTGTGTTGATAGGTTGAGTGTCATAGTATTGACGTTTGTGGCTCAATGTCGATGGAGGTGGCATGTCCATGGGCATTTGTCGGTGTTGAGGATTTTCAATATCGAGAGATGTCATCCGAGTGTCCATGGACTTTGTTTGATATGGTTGAACATCGGTGTTGAACTCAGGGTCATAGTGATGTAGAGTTTGATGGCTTTGTTCTATCGGGCGACAGAAACTGTGCGTTGATAGAGGGACAGAACGAGTCTCCATGGACCAGGGTGGATATTGAGGATCATCGATATCAGTGCCTGTGTCTCAGTGATGTCAAAATGGAGGTTGTTGACAAGCTGGTAAAGCAGTGGAGTATATAGACGCTGAAGATTCTGAGCAAGAGGAATGATCTCCCTCATCTGGATTAGCAGGAAAATATCGGGAAGCTGGAGCTGTAAAAGCCTCACATTTAGAAGAAAATTGCTCAACCATCTTTGAGGATCATCGATATCAGTGCCTGTGTCTCAGTGATGTCAAAATGGAGGTTGTTGACAAGCTGGTAAAGCAGTGGAGTATATAGACGCTGAAGATTCTGAGCAAGAGGAATGATCTCCCTCATCTGGATTAGCAGGAAAATATCGGGAAGCTGGAGCTGTAAAAGCCTCACATTTAGAAGAAAATTGCTCAACCATCTTGGGTCTTTTAAGTGTCAGGTAGGGAGCAGGTTATGGGTCACTGTGATATGGCCATTTCGACACCAATGGCTGTCAAGATTGAAGTCCACCATGAGAAGGTATGGCCAAGCTGGACAGAGCAACTGGCTGACTGGCGGTTGCAGTTTGTCTGGTTGAGCACTGGTCAGGGCAAAAGGCATGGCTCAGACCCGCATTCAGCGGGTACAGGGACTGTTGGGGCCAATGTCTCTGAGGTGGTCGTGGTGGACGATCAAATGTTTCCGAATAAGGTATAGTTTTTAATTGTTATTTGGAGTCAACCCTGTCAGGTGAAGCAACTACCGAAGGGTTGCTCAAAAGAAAGAGTGTTGATGACTGGAAGGAGAAGATGTTAATCATCCCATTCTGGTGATTGGGAGCAGGGTTGGTGAGAGGGGATTCCATCATTTTCAGAAGCAGAACCAATAGAGATTAATTTGGCAGTTTGTTGAGGCTGCTGAGAAGTGACTGCAGCTTTAGATTTATGCTTTTAAGGTCCTTTAGGCGGAGAAGGCTCCGGAACTGAAGAGGCTTCTGTGGACATTTGACATTTAGTGGAGGGCTTCGAGATAGAGGATTTCGGTATTGAGTGTTTCGACTTATGGGTTTTTGAAGTTTTAGACGAAGTGGATGGAGCTTTGGAATGTGATGGTGTAGTCGATGGATGTTGTTTTGAGGTTTCAGAAAGAGCTTTCTCCATTGTTTTGGTTTGTGAGGTGGCCTTACAAGGAGGTTGGGCCATTTTGGTTGGTTGAAAGGATTGTTGCCAAAGACGGAGTTTTAATCTGGATAAGCGAGAAAAAGAGGACTCTGCGCTTGAAGTTCTTACAATGCTGGCAGGAGGAGGGGGTGTGTGCGGGCCCCCCCAAAAAAAAAAAAAAAAAAAAAAAAAAAAGCAATTGCCATGGCCATCAGAGAGTGAATGAATGAATACTTTATTCTGGTCAAAGAACAGTGGTATTTTGTTATCACAGACCACACACAGTGTTTAAATGGGGCCCAAAGGGACCATGAATAGGAGAAAATAATTTGAGGAGGAAAAACGATGATTGGGAGGGGTGCTGTGGCCAGAGGTCGAGCGAAGCAGAAAAGAAAAAATGATGATAATAAATTTGATCTAAAAGTTTAAAGGAAAAAAACTGATAACAGGAAGCAATCAAGAATACGCTCTCTTTATTTTTCTTTTACTCACAGAAGTAGAACTATGAGGCTCTCAACGTGGCGGTTGAAAGAAACTGAAAGGGGAGCTTTGGCGCCAAGGTATTTATAGGATGGGAGATGGGCCTTATTCTAGTGTGTTTTTCTCCTACTGCAGAAGGTTTAGAACTTTCCGATGAGGCTCCGCGCAGGTGTGGATCACCCAGGGTGTGATTCATAGAGGCCATGAAGAAGAACATACTATTTCAAACAAAATGGCACCAATTTTCCAGGTACAGACCACTGGAACCTCCTGTTCTATCCTTATTAACCTGAATAAATGAACACTTATCAAAACAAATATGGCAAGTGTATATATTTTTGATAATCAGTGTCTGTAATCCTGTGGCTTTTGCTACTCATGCAGAAAGAAAATGTTACAACATTTAGCTGCTTCTTTCTGGCAACTAATGAGTCACTCACTGCTGGGCTTCTCAGGGCTGCATGCATCCCATTGACTTGGTGGTATGCTCAAGAATCTCAGTGGGGACTCTTAAGCTGCCCAGTAGAAGTGGCTGAATGCTGCACCCTTTGCCTTCTGAATGTGTAACAAAACCATAGAACTTCCTCCAGTTTATACAATGTAAAAGCTATAGCAAAAATAAAATTACACATAGTTTGTATTCTCGAAGGCTTTCACGGACGGGATCCAATGTTTTTTGTAGGTTTTTCAGGCTATTTGGCCATGTTCTGGAACACGGCCAAACAGTCTGAAAAACCTACAGTAAACATAACATTATTTTATATATATAAAATATTTTTGCACCACCTTTCTGCTTGAAAAGGACCCAAGGTAGTTTACAACACTGAAAAGACAATGTTTAAAGTTGAAAACAATGAGTATTAAGAGGCAGCTTACAACATTAAAAGGCAATATTAAAGCCAAAAACAAAAGTATACAAATAAAGGGGGGAAAAACAAATGCCACTTTGAGAAACAAAATACACAAAAGTAGAAAACACAAGTAGTTTTAAAAATCCAGTCAACGCAGTAATGCATAACAATCCATCTGAAAATCTTACACAGGTAGTGAGTTACTGAGGGAAGGCTTGCCTGAAGAGAAAGGTCTCTGCTTGCAGAAGGATAGCAAAGATGGGACCAGTCTGGCCTCCTGTGGGAAGGAGATCCAGAGAAGGCCTTCTCGTATGTCCCCATCAGATGCACCAGTAAAGGTGGTGGGCCTGTGAGAAAGGCCTCTCCTAATGATCTTAAGACCTGAGCCAGCTTATAATGGGAAATACAGTCTTTGAGATAGGCCATTTAGGGCTTTATAAGTTAAAACCAACACTTTGAATTGTGCCCAGAAAAGGATTAGCAGCCAATGGAGCTGCTGTAATTGGGAGGGTGGGTTATGTTATCCCTGTAACCAGCCCCAGTCAGCAATCTGGTTGTTGTAATTTGGACCTGCTGAAGTTTCCTAACACTTTCCATCGGCAGCCCCGCACAGAGTACGTTACAGTAATCCAGCCATGAAGTATAGGATATATGTCACAGTGGCCGGATCAAATCTCTGAAGAAACAGACACTGCTGGAACAGTAGTTTTAATTGTATAAATACACTCCTGGCCACCACTGCGATCCAGGCTCAGGGATGAATCTAGGAGCCCACATGTTTTTCATGAGGAGGATAACCCCATCTAGCACAGGCTTCATCCCTGTTCCTTGATCTGCCTTTCGACTGACCAGAAGCACCTCTGTCTTGTCTGGATTAAGTTTCAATTTATTCACCCTCATTCAGTCCATTACTTACATCAAACTCTGATATAGAGCCAAAACAGTGTCCATACTTCATTGCAGTTACTTCTGAAATGATGAAGAGTTTCACACTACAGCATAGGTAGGAGCTACTCCTGGCCAGTGCAATCCTCTTCTTTGCGGCAAAACAGCTGAATGCTAGTGGATTGACAAGCTCCACTGGCACACAAATGTGGAGTTGCCCACATTAGCTTTTGTGCAATGCTACCAATAAAGTCATTCAAGCTCAAAGCGCACAATGAAATATCTATGTTTCAATGCACGAGCACAAGCACCAAGAATGTCAAAACTACTCATGCTACAGTCCACTGCATGAACGTTTGATACCACTGGATCCAGCCATAAGTGTACCACATATACTGGATTCAGCAAACTATCACAGAAATCAAGAGTATGACACACAGACTTCATATGTAAACTGTTCTAAAATGCTTTGATTTCTCAAGTTGTTGAAAGGTGAAGTGCTTCTGTTTAGAAGCACCATTAGAATCACATTTAATTTTCATCAGAAGTGTAAATGACTTCACTGCTGTCAGGACAAATAAAATGCAGCTGATTAAATCTCTGAAATTACGTACTTGGCTGTGAGAAAGGTGTATGAGCTAGCCACTTGAAAACAGTACCAAGGTTAGGAACTATTAGAAAGTTAAATATAGCATTTGTCAACTAAAATCAAATACAACAAAACTAATCTGTTTTAATGCATATTGAAAAAAGGGTTGTCCAAGATACAATCACAACAGTTCTACTTAATGGTCTCAGAAACTGTGAATTGTATTTTCTGATCAGCGATCTCTCATATAGCCCCTGGAACACTGCACTTGAAATTGAAGTGATTATTAGACATTGGGATGAACAAAAAAATGAACTATGATATTCATCAGAAACCACTGATTTGTATAATATTCATCACTTAGTATTCGTCAATTCAGGATTCCCTGACCAAAAAAAACCCCCCAACAAACTGATTTGTGGTTTGTTGGAAATTTCTGGTGAAATTTGTGGATCATGGGTCCCCATCTCTAGTTATTATCTGTAAGTGTGAATGGTCTCAAACATTCTCACTAAGAATCAGAAAAACTTAGTTTATCAATACAGGGAAAATATTGTGGTGTTAATAAATGAACTAAATGATAATAAAGTAAACATATTATGGTGACAAAAACTATTTTTCATTATTCAAAATGTGTTTATATGTCTGTAAGTGTTTCCATGAAGCTTCCCATAGTGTTATATAGTAGTAGAGAAGCCACATGTGTTCTGTATCTCAAAACTGTAAAGGAAGAAAGCAAAGGTTAGCTTTTGCCACTCTCAATCACAAGGGAGATTGTTGGACACATTTTGAGTGGAGTGTATCTTTCTAAGTGTGCACAACATTTTGAAAAGTAAAGTAATATCACAAACCTTAATGTGGAGAGTTGATGTGAGCATGCCAAAAAAGATGAAAGCAATATCATTAGGAGACTAGACTCTGTTATGAATCTAGATGTATAGAGGGTCACTCAACGTATAACAGCATGAGATATCAAAGATTCATCCATTATCTTAAGGAATTAATGGAAATACCAGCAGAAGATAAAGGTTGAAGAAGATACATTCCCTCTTGAAGAGCAACTACTGAGCAGCAACAATAATGGAAACTGACACTTTCACAAACAATGGCAGTGACACACAATCTATGTGGAAGACAATGACAAAGTACCGGTATGTTTAATATTTTGTTCCTTGAAAATACAATTATGCAACAATTCAAAATGGCACAAGAGAGAGTTGTGGAAGAAGTAGACAACAGAGAAGCTGTATTCTTTCTGTCAAAACAAAACTAGGAACACATTGTGAAACAGGTCATGACTGTTAATATCAGAAAATAGAATGCCAAGATGCCATTTAAATAACATATCAGTCTATATAAAGAACAGATTTCAATTAATAAACACAAACTGACCACAGTGGACTGGAACCAGAGCTACCAGAGTTAGGAAACAATGCAAAAAGTCTATCCAATAATCATGATCATCATCATAAAATCTAGATGGACAGCTGATGGAACTCCCACCCTTATATACCTAAGCATGAAGGATATTTTAAAATGTTGCAGCTTTTTAAAAAAAATCCTGTTGCTTTGCACAGCAAATAGTGCTGGAACAGGTCACAATGGGGATTTGGCAAGTCAATTTCTCCATAAACTTAATTGATTCAAATGGGCGTACACTAACTTCGGTTTCCTTTAACATATCATCTACTTGTATCAGTCTACTTGAAGACTGAGCTTGGTTTCAGGATATACAGTATATTCAGTGGGACCCCCCCCACACACACACACACCTAAGGCTGTCATACATTCCTGGTATGGGCCCTAAGCTTGTGGCTAAGAGGCTGAAAAACAAACACCTGGATGTTTTTACATTTGTAGGGTGAGGAGATTATCTCTTTTTTTCAAAAAATTAAAAACCAAAATCAATAAAACAAAAACACAAAAATACAAAAGAAAATAACATTAACAACTATAAAATAATAATAACACTGGGAGAAGCACTGAATGTTAGTAATAAGGATAATTGTGTATAAGAGATATTATTTGTACTAACGGGGGAGGAGATTTGAGAAACCAGCTTCAGTAGAATAGTTTTTGATAAAGACTAGGAGGTATAGAAAATACTTGACAGAGAAGCCAAAAAACTTCATTTCCAAGTCTGAGCTGCAATATTAGACATGGACTATGTCAACAGGGTGGCTGTAAACTGCTCACTCAATCCAGCCCTCAAATCTGCAAGAGGGGTAAGCACGTTGTAAACCTTGTACTGTCACTGTATACTGTTGTCCCAGCTCAACCTACAACCTGGAATAAGAACAAGAACAATGGACAACTTTCTTGGATTATTGTAAGTTAACTGTGAAACATCAGGAAGAACAACCTTCAGAACACGGCCAAAGAGCCCAAAAAACCCACAACAACCATTAGATCCTGGCTGTGAAAGCCTTCGCGAATATATTAACTCTTTCACTTTCAGTCCAATAACCAAAGAACAACAGGGCTCTGGATAACACCGTTGAATAACACTGCGTGATCTGGCTTGCAGTATTCAATGTGAGCTGCTATAGGGTTGCTGTAAATTTCCTTCCTGCCCCAACAGCCTCTTCCAAACCTGTGATGTGGGGACACTGAGCTATATTTGCTTTCAAATGTGCACCACCAAGACTATTTTTAAGGGTTTCACACCAAATATAAATTGAATAAGAAATAATAGTAGTGCAATTACAGACAATGGCTCTCACAGAACCTCCTTTATGTGTGCGGCAGCACACAAAGCTACTATTTTTGGAAAGCTAATGAAGCACATGTTTGCCAAAACCGTGGGATAAAAGAAGGCCAATCTTCCCCACATAATTTGATTGCTGCATTAAAAAGAGATTATAAGAAATACAGCGGGTTGTAAGATAAATTATAGAATCACATAAGAACTGGGAAAATGTACCAAGAAGGCATAATTAACAATGAAGTTTTAGCACAATGAACAAAAAAGCCAGGAGATAAAATCATAGTCACTCAGTCATGTGTAAATATAATTTTCACTTGAAACTGCATCTATACCACACAAAAATAGAAACCTGAACAATTCTTGGCCGAACTGAAGTAAAAAAAAAGAAGTTAGAGACTGTTCTTGACTTTTAAAAAATGCAATTCTAAACTAATGTGACTTAGTGTCACAGAGGTTTCTCTCACTTCCAGGTTTATGCAAACTAGCTTGCTTTGTTTGGTGACTGGTCTCCTTTGAAGAATGTTTTCACAAAGATGGAGAAAATGCCTAAATTACCTCTCTACATTAATATGCTTTTCAGTTCTAATTATGGGCTTCTCCGTTTCTGACCTTAAAGCGATACAGAAATATATGTAAACATGCATTGGCTAATGATATTAGCATTGGCTGTGGTAGCAGACCAAGAAAAGCTGGCTAGATAGTTCAGTGAGTTAGAGAACTGGCTAAAGAGTCAGAACTTGGGAGTTCAATTCCCCACTATGCATCCCAGGACAGGCAGTCTGTGTAGCCATGTTGCGGCAAACTGCATAGTCCTAGGGCACCCTTAGAAGAAATGAATGGTAACCACTTCTGAGTACAGTATTCTGTACCTGGAATACCCTGAAGTGGGTTGTCATTAGTCAGAACTGACTTGACGGCACACAATAACAAGTCTAAGGACAAGACTATTCTTAAAGTTAAATTAGTGCTTTTAAAAGTGTTTTGTGGTTTGGAAAGGAACTCCAATTTGTGTCTGTGGTGGAATCGGAAGAGCACTGCACTTTCCTTTCATGCTTGAGTACCAAGAAAGGTGCCTTGCCAAAGCTGCCCATCTGCCCAGGAGAGAAACTGCCATCTGAACCACTAACGGCACTCTTGGCCACTCCGACAGTGCCATTTTGACAGAAGTATCCAATATGCAATGCTTGACCTTGTGTTGAATGTGTAATTTTCCTCTAATTCCATTACCCTTGTCTCTAATTAATGTTCATTGTCCTCAGAGTGTTTCACAGTTGTGCTAAATGAAGCCCATCCCCATTGTGAATATTCTGAAATTCACTGCATTGGTATTTGGCAAATATATCTGATAAAAACAATTGTGATGTTTTGTGCAAAATTACGGTATACAGTGGTGCTTCGCTTAGCAATGTTAATCCGTGCAGCAAAAATCACTGCTAAACAATTTCATTGCTAAGCTATATTAAAAAGCCATTAATGCGTTCCTATGGGCTTAAAAATTAACCTATGCGTTCCCATGGGCTTAAGTGAAAATCCTCCATAGGGGCAGCCATTTTCGGTGCCTCTAAAGCGAGGCAACACAGTGGCTGGCCATTTTGTTTACCCGGCAGCCATTTTGGAACCGCTGATCAGCTGGCCGAAAATGGGGGCTTTGTGATGATCTCTTCCCTGCGATCATCGCAAAGCGAATTTTCCCCATAGGGACCATCGCTAAGCGATCGCAAAAACATCGTTGCAAAGCGATTTGTTCATTAAATGGAGCGATCGCTATGCGAGGCACCACTGTATATTATAGAAACATGGTTTTCATATTGAGTACACTAAAACATGGAAATGTTAGTCTTCCCTCTAACTCCAACCAAAGCTGGAAAAAGTTATTTTTTGAAGTATACCAGAATTCCAGAATGCAGGTGAGTAGTACAAATACCTGGGATCAGTAGTACAAAAATCTTTCCTCATTTCAGCCTAAAAGACGCTTCTCACAGTACTCAGTGAACTCTCAACTATAGTTGTACCTAGAAAACATTCTGAAAAAAGCTACACAAAAATGCAAGTACATTTTTTAAGAATCCACATAAGTTTAAGATCTACCATTACATAAAACAAACTCTTTGTGATATCAAAACCTGTAGACCTACTATTATTTTACTATCTTCAACTCTAAAATACTGTGGCACAAATAAATATGGTTTATGTACAGATTTTCACTGAGAAATTTCTCCTAAATGCAGTAGCAAAAAGCGCAAAGAAAAAAACTTCATTTTAAAATTTACAATTACTGTATATCCAGCAAACTTAAAGGGATGAATAGAATACAGACCTAAGCAGGTGTGCTTTCTCAGTAGTGTCAATGGAGTAGAAATAGCTTTTCAGAATCATAAACAGAAGTACATATATTTTCATTTCCATTCTCCACACCCTGCCATATGCTCTTCAGAGTTATACTCCATTTCTTTGGGAGTGGGGTGGGCATTTGCTGTCCTTGGTCTCAAATGCTGCCATCTGAAAATTTGCAGAGTACAAGGGCACTGTATAGACAGAACAGAGAACTCCCTTTCCATATTTTGAAGGGTGTCCTCAACGCAGTTATAAGGCACCTATACTATGATCTAAGTGCAATTTATACATGGCTTCCTGGTATCGTACTGTGCTATTCCTGTACAGGGAAAATGCCTGAAAGATCACTGCTTGCTTTGTCTGAAGCAAGCCTTATCATACTGCTGTCAAAGCCTTCTTCTCTGTAGCAGATAAAGAGTAGAACTGATTTCACTGAAAGTGTGAAAAAGACACAGGGAAAAGTGTAAGCTTGAGCATAGATTAAATGGTTAGGAAATCCCATGGCAATGTGTTTATTTATTTTCTGATACAAATAACATTGTCAAACTGCAGGTTCTAAGAAACTCATAAAATTAGAACACTAGATATATTTATAGCTATTTACACTGGGTTGGATAGACATTTAATTTTTGCGATAGGCTACTGTTCTTCTTTTACACCTTGCTGCATTTAACATGGTAATAATTTAATAGCAATTAATCAACCAATGGTGCTATTTTATGGTCACTGGGAAGATGTCTCTCAGATTCTATGGCAGAGATGGGCAGTGCGTGGTCTGTGGTCTCCATACTGGCCATAGTGACACAAACATGGTCATGAGATCCAAATCGCTACACACAGAGACAAAAACATTGGGCTTAAGAAGTCCTGCTATGCCATTTAGGAGGAAAAAAGGCACTTTTTGCCATGTTTCAAAGAGTCGATAGCATCCCTTTGGGCATCCACATCCCCCTAAAACTTTAAAACAAACAAAAAATGCTACTAGAGGGTACAAATGGGCTTCTCCAGTAAAGAAAAAAAAGTTGCACACTGATGAAACTGAAACTGGAGTGGTCAATGTTAGAAGAGCTGTTGTTTCAAACAGAAATAGGTTTTAAATCTCCACCGCAG